CACAAGGTCTTGGGTTTCCCTTAGAAGCGCCATCTATGTTTAACTTAAAGAAATCAGCAGTAATCACATTCATATGGGCTACCGTCACTCTTCTTCTTGGGACCTACTGAACCTTTAAGTCCAACCCTCTAATGGAAATCTGTTGACCATAGCTAACAGAGGTTTTGTAACTCGGCAAAGGAGCTACTTCGTGAACCCACTTTAACACTGTCCAAATAACCGATTGTGAGCAGCGTGATTTATTTTCAAGTTTGCACCGGTTCCTTTCTTTTCCAATTTTCCCAAACTGCAAAACAAGTAATTAGGCCCACTAGAGAGGTCCATTGCTTCGTTGTGCTGGTGGCTTGTAGCAACCATTGTGAGAGAAAATCCCTTATACACTGAAATGTAGCCCCATAGTTCTGCTAAAATACCTCCACACCCTCCTCGCCAAACAACCTCAAACCCATAAATGATTAACATCTTCCATTTCAGCTTGAAGACAGTAGTAACACTTAGAAACCAAAGGGATTCCAAGGCTTAAAATGGAATTAATTGAATTAATTATGAGATACAGATAATTGAGTCAATTATAGTTATAGTGAATTTAATGGGCATTAATTGAGGTAATTGAATTTGAATTTCAAATTTGAAAAATGACACCAATAATAAGATTTTCCAAATTATAATCAGAAATTGGGAGAAAAATTTGGGGTAAGTTTAGGATCAAGGGTACTTAGTGGACTCAAGAATGGGAAAGACAATTTTTGATGAGAATCCTATCCATTGCCATCCCTAGTTTTAAGGTGAGGTTCTAATGATTATACATAACACCTCTAAAAAAATCCATATATTTAATGGATCACTAAATTCTAAAAATCAATATCTATTACACAATACAGACCAATACATTATGATATTTTGAACCATATAATATTGCAATATTTTAAGCCATTCTTCCATGCATGAGATGAAACGTTAAATATTGAATCACTGTTACATATATTGTAGAATACAGTATGAAATTTTGAATCACTGTTACATATATAGTGATATTTTGGACCATGCTTGGATGAGAGATGAAAACCCGACTGAGATCGGCTAGTAAGAAAACAACATTGGACACACCACAATTTTCTGCCACATGTCCATAAATATATGAGAAAATGCATTTATACACATTACTTTTTGAAAACTCACATGTATTGATGGACAGATGGCACAAAACCTATGATATGCCTAACTTTGTTGTTGCTGAAAAGTGAAAAATCTGCTCTCCTTTGGAGGTTTTATTCTGCTTAATTTAGCATGTAGAGATTTATGAAATTACCAAACTTGGTTAATCGGGTCAACTATTAAAAAAAAGAAATGTTACAAATCCAGCCAAGTCGCTTAACAAGTCACAACCACTCACAACTCACCATCTCGTTTTTGAATTAACCCCAAATAATAATTAGTTAATTTAAATCCATGATCCATCTTTGTCCTCTTACTATGCTAAAATTTCCAAAATGCCCCCGACTTTTCATCTCTATTCTTTCCATCAAAAACTCTTACAACTCTTTTCAAACCACACACACTTTGATTTCCGTTCTTATGTTCTATCAATGGGCTGATTAGTATTGTTGTTTTATCAATACTAGTGTAAGGGTATCTATTATATACATGTGTGAAAATAAGGAGTGTAAAAATTAATATTTTGTATTATTTAATATGTATTTGAACGGTACATATTTGTATTTGTACTCTTTCTAAACTGAGGCTAAAGAGTATTGCAAAGATATAAATCAATATTATATATAATCAAATTTAATTTTTATGAGCTCTCCAAAATCAAAGCTAGTATTGGCCAAACTTCATGAGTATCTTTTGCTTGAATTTGTAGTGGCTCCCCACTAACAACTCCCACGTCAACCCCACAAGAGATTATAACTTTGCATGAATTCAGATCTACTCCTAACACTGTCCCAATCACATCGGGAACGAGTTCAGATCACCTGCCAACAAAACACATTCCAACTCTCTACCAACATAATCTTACACCACACATCTTATACATGATGGGTCCTAGCCTCATAGCGAGATGTGCGGTGTTAGATCAAGTTGGTAGAGGGTTGGAAAATGTTTTGTTGGCAGAAGATCTCAACTCATCGGTAGGGTGGTCATGAGCCAAGCTTAGTCGAGCTTTTCACAAGCTATTCGAGCTTGACTTGCGAAAAACTCGATTCAGCTCAGTCTAAACCAAGTTTAGAGTCGAGCTTGAGCCTAATAAAGCTCGGCTCATGAGGTTCACGACCTTAATTGAGCTTTGACATATACTAGTAAAAGTGAACACGCGTTGCACGTGGCAGTGTATATATTGTCATTCAACTCAAAGACCTAATTTCAAGTGTTCTTATAGTTTCTATCAATGTTTTCAACATGTGGTTGAACCATGGAGTTGGATTTATTAGTTTATCATTTGGACATATTTTTTTAGTACGTTTTAGCCTATACCAATTTATTGCAAAAAAATCATTGGCTTGGTCAACAACCAAATGAGGTCCTTACTGGTTGAACCACTAATCTATTTAACCAAGAAAATGGGCTATGGTTAAGACATTAATTTTTATTTTTACTAACAACAATTCTCATTTTTTCAAATATCAAGATAATTCGTTTACATTTAGAGTGTTGAGAATAATAGAACTTTTTGTTTAATATGAAGAATATATGACATTAGTGCATGTTCAAAATTTTCTATAAAATTTATAAAAAATTCTATATTTTTATTTTTTATTATTTAATTTATAACATAATAAAATTTACTTATTTACCAAGAGGAAATGTAATTCCAATATATTATTTGATATTGGTTTTTAATATTGGAGTCAAATCAATTTATTAGATTGCTTAACCAACCATTCACTTCAAGATTGTAGGTTCATTTACCACCAAACCATTCGATGTGGTTAGTGGAGTCATGTGTTGGACATTAATGCTTTTTTTCTCTTAATTTTTGTACCATTTTCATCATTAATGAAAATAATTCTCATTTATCACACTTTTTTTATATGGTGAATATATAATATTATAGAATGTATGCAAATTTATCTATAATTTTCTATAATTTTATATATTTTATTATTTAATTATAACATCATGTGTTGATCCTTTTGATATGGACAATTGAACCACTAATCCACCACTTGGATGGAAAAGTCATTTTGCTTTTTTAGTTGATTTTAAATCTTGTATTCCATTTCCATCATTAATAAAAGTAATTCTTATTTTCAAATTTATTTTTGTTCAGTATTATGATTATATAACAGTAGAACTGTATCAAAATTCTTTATAAAAAGCTTATATTTTTTTGAGTTTTTATATATTTTTTAATATTTATTACTTAGTTATGATATCATAGATTGATCCATTTAGCCTCGAAGATTAGATCGTTGACATTCCATCTAGATATGAAACTGGTTTCATTTTCAAGTTGGTTTTGAATTTTGCATTTAATTTATATCACTAATAAAACAATTATTATCCATCATACTTATTTTTTTATTATATGATTAATATATAATATTATAGATGTGCCCAAAATTATTTCATATGTTTTATTATCTATTTTAAAATTTATATATTTTTTATTATACATCACAAGTTAACCCATTTGGCCTGAAAGGTTGAACCACTAACCCATCCCCTAGATAGGAAAATTGTTTCATTTCCCATTAGTTTTAAGTTGTATATTCCGTGTCCATCATTAATAAAATTATGTCTATTTTATCATACTTATTTTTTAATATGACAAATACATAATAATAGAAATGTGTCGAATTTGTTTTTTCAAAATTTCTTTATGTTCTATATTTTCTATATTTTTAGATTTCTAAATTTTTATTATTTATTTATAACATCATAGAATTATCCATTTGACCCAAATGGTTGAACTACTTACCCACCACCACCTAAATAGAAAAATATGATTTTATTTATAGGTTTATTTTAAAATATAAAATTTCATTGTATTAATAATTATTGTGTATGGGTTTATTAGTGGAATGTAATGATGAGAAACAAAAGTATAATGTTGTATTCAGTGAGAAAGAGAATGTGATTTATTTGATGACTTAAATGTGAGACTTAATGAGAAGTAATTGAATGTACTTAATAGTATTATTTTAATTATATTTTCTACCCTTACGATGGAGATGAACCAAAATCAAGAAAATGGGTATTTTAGTAAGGAAAAATTCTAGAAGCCAATACCTTATTCACACTTTTATAAGTAGTATAAATATGTACATATACATACATGCATATATACACATAGATACATACATATTATACATATAAAAAATAATAAATATAAAAATAATATACATAATAAAAAATATTATATATAATATTTTTATTTTATATATATAATAATAACAACTAATTTTTATATTCTTAATATATTATATGTTAAATAAAAAACAATTTATAAATATATACCTATTACTTTTATAAAATGTTTGGCTCATAATCGAGCTCGAACCGAGCTGAGCTTGAACTTATGAGCATTTGACTCGAGTTGAATTTGAGCCCAAGCTTGATGGTTTATTTGCGAGCCAAGCTCAAATAACTAATGTTCTCGGCTTGTGGGGAGCCATGAATGATTTGTAAGGGGTGCTATGTGGGGAGCCAATCTGAACTCTGAACTCGGGTTGCCTTTGGCCAAAGTAGCCAGGGGATGATTTGTCAAAAGAAAAAGGAATAGGGGTAATTTGGGAAGCAAAGAAAGCATGGGAGCTAGGCACATCCACGCATTGGAAACATCCCGTGAATTATAACTAATAAGTATGGGAGATGTTCCCAATGCATGTAGGATGTGCGTGTGAGGCGCCAGGTGTGAGGAGCAAATCCGGTCTCCTCAGAATGACATGACAGGTAAATGAGAAGATAAGGGAAATAAGTAGGGGTAAAAATGAGAAAAGGAGCTGTATCTTTTAAGCCGCAGGAAACGCGGGATCTTAAAGTGTGGTGGTGTTTGTATTCGTTTGGGACTCGACGTAACGGAAATACCCGTTGCTCTGGCGCTGCATTCTATTCCACACTGACCTGAGCCTCTCAGCCTGAGCCTGACCTGAGTCTGGCCCTGATCCTCAACACCTTCTCTCCCTTCCTCATTTGCAGAGGAAGCTTCCATGAAACACAACCCATCGTCGTTGTCGTCCTCCTCCTCATCTAACCCGTCTCAATCATCGTCAATTCATGAGGCTTTTGGGTCGTTATACAGATTTGGAATGGCAACGTAGATGATAGAACCAAGAGGGTAAGTCCTGAATATTGTTTAGTCTATTGGCTTCCTGGTTTTGTTTTTACTGATCATTTTTTTTTTCATGTGTTGGTCTGTACGGGTTTGATTTGGTGGCATTAGCTCTGCAAGATCTTGATCTCATTTCTATAATGGGGATGAATTCTGACAACGTACGTGGGTTTGTTTTGGCCGTTTCTTCGAGCTTTTTTATTGGTTCGAGTTTTATAGTGAAGAAAAAGGGGCTTATGAGAGCAGGGATGCATGGAGTCAGAGCAGGTTTGTCTTCTTTTTCCTTATTCCAGTAAGTTTCAGCATTTGGGTTGTGACCATTTTTTTTCTGAAAATATCGTAGATATCAGATTAGGCAGCACGATAGAAAATTTCAGTATTTCTTTATTTCTTTTTACTCCAGTACTGAGATTATTTATTCTATTCAGGTTTAGGTGGGTTCTCATACTTGTACGAGCCTTTGTGGTGGCTTGGAATGATATCCAGTAAGTGCCTCTTCTATTATTTGGCTCGACGATGGGAACATTTATGATGAAATTAATAGAAGCTAAGGACCTGTTAGTTTCCTCTTAAAGGGGTGTTCCTCTTATCTCTTATCTCTTACAGAGGAATCTTACAACTTTTTGTTTGCTAATGATACCCCAAAGCACAAATAAAAGTTCTTATATATTAAGTTAAAATGGATATTTGTCAATTTTCAGAATTCAGAACTGCATTCGGAGTCAGACTGCAGACATGAATGAAGAGGCCCTAAATGTTAAATTGTTTTGTGTTGCATCCTTTTTCCATTTTTTAGTTGGTTAACTGGGATTGAACTGATCTCATGGTTGCCATCCTGAAAGTCATGAATGGTATTGTGGTTATCAAACTATTTATTTCAAACTTATAGGAAACCTGCTACTCATGATTATTTTAGTTTATTTTTAATTATGGAATTCGATAATGAATTGTTTCCCCTGGAAAGTTATTCATACTTTACTTGATCCTCCTTAGGTTTATTTATTTATTTATATTTGTACAGAAATTTCCCTTTCTCTTAGTCTATAATAAAATTCTGGACTTGATATTAAGACTTCCCTTGCATCCTCCACAGAGATGGAGCCAATAGAAAAATAATTTGAGGGGGTGTTAAGTTAGTAATTTACAAAGGAAATATGGGATTCACTTTATATAAGCATATGGAGTTTTCAAAAACTTTGCGTGATTGCCCCTTTGCCTCTCTGAATCCACCTGTGATCCTTCACTCCTGTTCAATGATACAAAGTCCTCACACATAAAATGCTATGGGTTCTGCACCTTCAAAAGATTCACTGGGAGATTTTCCAAATACAACTTGCTTGTCTAAAGAACATTTTTTTTTTGTCAAGCTGATAAGCACATATATTGTATAATTTCAGACCAGCAATTCTTAATTCAGTGTCTATCAATTTTATAGGATACATAAGTTGAAGCATGAGCAGCTTTAGCCTTTATTTGGGATTGGCTAGATGCATTTTCTCTGCCATTCCACTCCATCTTCATTTCTCATTCAAATGAATAAACCATCTTATTTGACTTTTCCTGATTTTGTTGTTGTTGGGCATTTTTACCAGCTCACCTTGATACTAAAGGTTCTGTTATGCTAAAACTTGGCATTTGAAATAACCCCTTTTATAGGCTCTAGATGATGCTCCAAGAAAAATCAGCGGAAAACCTGGGTACTTAACACTAGCAAACAAGATATCATAACTCATAAGAAGGGGCATATCTAAGGAGGCCACACATGGATTTTCTTATTTTTACTATATCTTTTAACTGCTTATGTAATGGAAGCAGGTCTGCTAGTCGGGTCATTTAGTGAGCTTCTCTTAATGATCTAGGATCATTCAGCTTGGCATTTTAGTTGGGAGCCCACAAGGATTCCACACGCTAGCTGTCTCAGTGAACTCTATTCATGAGGCAGGTTTCAGCCCCAAAAGACTTGATAAATGTCAAAAATAAGTGCTTTCTGGGCAAATTTTTATATTATAATATTAAAATATTTAACAGTTAATATTTGTGAAGAAATTACAGTTAAAAAATATTTGTGAAGAAATCACCAATACAATTTCTATAACAATAGGATTGGAGGGTTGAATATCTAGCCAATCAAGATGGTTGTACATATGATGAACAGTTTGTATTTGCCATATCATACTTACAAGTGAAATAAATAAGATTAGTTCTGTAAGGAGGCTTCCTACTCGACCTGATTGGAAACATTTTTTCCTTGTGTAATAAATATTATTTATGGTTGTACCCCTGTGATGATTTTGGAGATTGACATGCTGCGCACATTTGAACATCTGACTACTTGGCACCTGTGCCATATATCAAGGTATCATTGGCATGGGATCTATGTTCCATATGTAAAAATGTCTAATTTTATCCTCCCAAATACCAGGTGAGTACTCTCTCTCACTCATGGTTGGTTTCAGGGGGCTATTCTCATCCATCATTTTAACTGTTCTTTCATTTATATTTTTATTTTACTAAAATTGTTCTCCATATAATTTAATTTTGTAGTTAACCAAAAAGCATAGGTTGTAATGCCACCTAAACCTTGGGCAAAGTGGAAGCATTGGGAAAAGGAGATAACCTATCAAAAGGTTACTGCAAGAAGAGGCAAACAGTGGCATATCCTAAATGTAGAGCTGCTTTAACATATGACATTATGAGAACTATTTCTATTTTCTTTTTATCTCATCACAAAAGATAGACATTCATATATTTAATGCATAAAAACCAACAAATATTTTATTACCTTGGTTGGTCCAAGTTTTTGTGTTTGCAATAAAAATGTTGCAGATTATGTAACATTTCTTTGTTTGACTTTACAAGTGTAGATTGTTTTGAGTCCAGCCTTGATCACATCAAGTTCTAATATGGATATAGAGTTGATGGAATGGACCTTAGATCAAATCTGGRTCTAGTAAGCATCTAATACTAGCGAACTAAGATATTTGAACCCAATTTAAATCTGATATCATGGTTGTGAAGGCGTCTAAGAGATTCTAGGCAATAGTGGAGCACCTAGGCATTGTCTAGGTGATAAAGTTTTGCAAAAAATGACTAAATCCTAGGTTAGTTCCCTAGGTTTACATACCAATCAACATGAATAATACTCTTTACTTATAAGTAATAACATTAATTTTTCTCTCAAAACATAGCAAATCATTATACATAAAAGATAATGGTATTTCAAATCAATTAATTTCAATATTTGAAGCGCAACTCTATAACTTTATAAATATTTAATAGGGAAATTTCATGTCAGAAAATCATCAACAACTAAATAAGGCTATAATTTTATACTGAAAAGTTTTAAGAGAGTAAAGGAAAGAGAAAAGAACAAGTGGCAGAGCCCTTTTTCTTTTTAATGTAGAGAGAGAGAGAGAGAGAAACTGTTTATAAAGAGAAAAGTCTTTACCATTCTCTTCTTTATTTTCTTTTTCTTATTAAAACCCTTGGATCTTTTATGTTGTAATGGTAAAATCTTTAAAAATATGTTATACATATAATATATGATAGGATGTATTTACACACAGTAATAATATGTAGCTGTAGTAACAATATTACAATATAGCACATCCGTTTCGTTTTTTTTTGTCACCTATGGGGGCACCTTATTGTCTAGGCAGGTGCCTAGTTACTTGGACAGGCGTCTATTTATAAATGATGTTATTTATACGAGGTGACTAGGCAACAGCTTGACAACTGTCTGACATGTTTACATCCCTAACTGGGCTCCAAGACTAGTTATTTAAAAAGGAAGAGAGTTTAAAGTTGTAGTACAGATCATTAGCAATGCATATCCACTTGATCAGTCCATATAGATTGTCATCACTAAAAAGAAAAACTACAGAGACACTACAACAGTGAAGCTAGGCAAGCCTAGCCTGCCTAGGTATCAACTGGGCAATTTTGGAGACCTACCACCTACAATCAACTATGTGGGCAGCATGGATATAAATATTTACTGTGGACATATAAGTGACTTACCCTTTTAACCAAAATGCTTTTGCCCCAGCTATCTGGAGTCCTGGGAGGGGCGGACTAGATGTTTTTCATAGACAGTCTTTGATAAATCTTTACTAGATAGTCCCATTTGCTTTTTGACAGTTCATATGTCTGTGCTTATACTGAACCTCTTTTATTTTCTACCTATTATTTTAGATCTTGTGAATATTTCTTTTTCATATAATTCTTTTTTTCCTAGAAGATTTCTCCAGTTTATATAAATAATGCTTCTATATGCTTTGCTAGTGGCCATTGGCGAGATAGCAAACTTTGCTGCTTATGCATTTGCTCCTGCAATTCTTGTGACTCCTATGGGAGCTCTGAGTATCATCTTCAGGTATGGTTCAAGATAGCATTGCAATCCAAGTTCTCAGACATGCCAATTTTCACTTAATTTTCATCAACTTCAATGCAACAAAATCCTATCCTAGCTATATGGGGTTGGCTATGGGAATCTTGTTTCACCATTCAACTTTATCATTATCTAATTTTATTTCTGAAGGTAAATTCCTTAATGCAGCTCAGTGCTGGCTCATTTCATTTTGGATGAAAAATTGCACATTTTTGGCATTCTTGGCTGTGTTCTTTGTGTGGTAGGCTCTGTTACTATTGTTCTACATGCTCCACGAGAGAAAGCTGTTGAATCAGTTAAAGAAGTATGGAACCTAGCCACTGGGCCAGGTAATTTGAAATCTGTTAGTTACACTTCTAATTGGATATCCAACCCCCCCAAGATTTCTTGTAATCTTTGCTACATCTTTCATACTACTTGTTTAATTGATTTTTGTAAATAGACATGAATTACAGATTGTTTTCTACATATTCATTCTAAATTTTGTATTGCATCCATTTGAGTTTATATGTGTGGACTTATTTTGAAGAATGGATTGACTCGGAGTTTCATAAATATCCTCTTTGATGTATATGGTTTAAATTAACTGAAAAACTTTTTTTATTGATTATTGATTCCTTGGCTTCTTTTTTGAATCAGTAAAACTAATATGTAATTTTTCTTTTTTCCAACAGGCTTCATTGTTTACATTTGTATAGTTTCACTATTGGTTCTTGTGCTCATTTTCCGGTTTGTGCCACGTTATGGGCAAAAATATATGGTGGTATATGTTGGAATTTGCTCTCTCATGGGTTCTCTTACGGTATGTTTAGCATCTTTTTCAGTTTATACAAACTCAAAACCATTTGGGCTACTTGGCTAGAGAGGAATGCTAGAGTTTTGAAGGAAATAAAAATCCTGTAGATAATGTGATAAACTCTTCCTTTGATTTGTTGAGGGGCTAGCTATCCATTCATAGTTCCTCCAATGGATATGTAGGCCATTCCTTTTTGTATATAGATTTTTTGGGGGCCTATTAACTTGTAATTGGCTGGATGTGCAGATCCTCATTGTACACAAGCAGCTTGTATGATATTAATACAATTTACCTTAAAAAAAACATTATATCTGCACCTGACATTCTTTACCCTTCTGGTTCAGGTTATGTCTGTCAAAGCAGTGGGAATTGCCTTGAAGTTAACTTTTTCAGGATTGAATCAGTTTATCTACTTCCAAACATGGGTTTTCATTGTTGTAGTTGTTTTATGCTGCCTCATGCAGTTGAACTATTTGAACAAGGTAATGCACAACAAAAAAAGAAAGACTTTTAAGTTTTAAAATATCAACTTCGAAGATTGCTACACAGTGGACAATGTAGTTTCAACATTAAACTAATAAAGCCTTGATTTATTAGTGGATATGTAATTTTCATATACTTTTCTAATAAATTGATGATATTGCTGAGATTTGAAAGGAATTATAGGATTATTTAAGTCATGGTACAGTCAGTATTTACATAAAAACTTATGGTGATTATTTAAACATTAATGTTATTTTACTTCAAGAGTTACAGTTTAAAAATATGGTTGCTGATGCATGTACTATTTATCCCAAATTAGAATCTTTTACATATGACATTGTTACCCTTAAGAACTAAGGTACAAGGGATAATTTTAAGATGGGTTAAGATATACTAAATAAATATTCGCTCACTGCTTAAATCACACACACACACACATGCACTTGCACACCTTAATTAAAGGAAAGCCCTCAGATAGATTGTCCTTCAGAAACACAGAATTCTATTTTTTCAAGCAACAGTATCCAAGAAATGGGTACTTTCCACTCTCAAGAAGCTTTCTTCTTGTGTCTATCTATTCTAAAAGAAAATGTACCCACTCTAAAAGATGTGGGTCCCATATCAATCTTTGTAATTCAATTTCCTAATTGAAATAAAAGACTCATTAAACTTTTAAATTACAAATTAAACCTGATTTAATTATTTAAATTTAACAAGGAATTCAAATTAGATAATAGTTACCAAATAAATGTTGAATCTAAAAAAAAAATGATATTATTACCAAAATAAAATAAAACGAAATAATGATATATAGGTGTAGTTACCCCATACTTAGTACAGGTTGTAGCACTACTCTCTGAGTCAGTGGGTGGAGGTAATTCTCTCAAGGCTGAGGTCTTGGCTGTGTTGGAAGGGGTAAGAAAAGCAAAAGAACTAAATATACAAAATCTAATCATTGAAGGTGATTCCAAGGTATTTATTGTCTGGCTGGAGAAAGAAGAGAATGGACTTTGGGAATACGCAAATTAAAAAAAGGAATTTAAGTGGCTGTCAAGGGGTATGGTTGTAAGGCTTCAGTAGGTTAAAAGGAGTGCTAACTCCTTTGCTGATGCCTTAACTAAACAAGGGGTGGGAAGGGTTCATTCACTGTAAGTATGCCTGTAAATCATTGACTGTGCTTTATCTATCCTTGGAGAGGGTTAAGAGAGTTTACCCCTTCCCTTGGATGTTGTATTCTTACTTTATTTCAATTAATGAAATCATGGTTATTGATAAAAAAAGGGTGGAGATGACTTAGCTTCCAGTAGACGACGGAGTTGGCTAATCTGCAAAAAGGGGAATCAGAGAACCCGGGGGTGCTTACTCGACGAGGTCGCTCTGATGCTTAAGTCAGTGATTTGCGAGCTGATGGTAGTTTAGAAAGCAAGAGAGATAGTGAGCAAAGATTACGTGTACCTTTGCCCCCGGAGGGTTGGGGTCTTTATATATTGGAGTCCTCGCGGGTTTTTCGGAGTGGTTCCGGGATTCTTGCTATAATGAGGCCCGTTTCCACATAAACAGGAGATAACGCTGCCAGCTGATAAGGCTTATCACTGCCGCCCGAATCAATCAGGGGAGATAAGGCTAGATGTTACGAGGCGTGATCCCGTAAAGCGTGGAATCTAGTGGCAAGATCTTTGGGGTCGTCATGCAGAGGTCGGTCAATATTACCCGAGCTAGTGCCCCTTGGATCCGACCTGGTACGAATGCTGAAGTGCCTTGGAGCCGGGGTGGTCCTAATGCGATCGTGTTCTGAGGTGGACTTGTCCCGAGGTGGTTCGGTTATCCGAGCTCGGCCCGTTGTAGACTTGATGTGTCAGAGTGAGCTGTCATCCTATCAGTTAGGTCATGTCCACGTGCCCCCCTATTACTAGGTCGAGCCAAATTGCCCTACATCAATTGCCCCCCACTCCCCGAGCCAGGGGTCCTGACCTGGTGCGGGGAGTTCATGGCGAGCCAAGTGGATTTGGTCCGAGGTCCGGGCAGCTTGTCAGATGGATCACGGGTCGGAATTGTTCGGCCACCCGACTCAACAAGGAAAACCCAGGTCGCGTTTGGCTTACGCACGGATGTCACACGATTTGTAAACGCTGCGGACGTCAAAAAACGCGCTAAACCGATTTTATCCTCGGGGGTCGCGCAGCCGGTTTTCCTAGGAGCCATTGGATTGCTTCGATCTCGACCGTTAGTTCTCAGACATAGCGGCTATAAATAGAGGGTCCGCGACTCATTTTTCTCGCCACAAATTCAGTGATTGAGCTCTCCCGAGGTCGCGTCGGAGTCTTCCAGTTCGGTTTTCCACTTCGTCTTTTCTTTTTGGTGAGTCCTCGTTCCTTAGCTTTTTCCTGCTTTTCAAATCATGTCGAGTCCTAGTGTAGATAGGCTCTTAGATAGTGTTAGCGAGGTAGAGGGTGTTGTTGTTCCTGCCGGGGAAGTCACCTCTTGGTAGGGTGCCTCCCTCTTCGGCCTTTAGAGGGAACCTCTAACCCTGAAGTCGAGCCATCTCGGCTCGGGGAGACCGAAGCTCAGGAAGTGGGTCCGTCCTCCAGATCGGGGGCCCCAACTTCTTCCCAAGGTCGGGATCCCGGTGACTTCGGGCCTTCCACACTATCTTCGGCCAGACTGTTGTACTTAGTGTCCTGCTATCGTCTCCCCGATAGCTTGGTCTTTAGCTTACCTTTAGGCCAATACCCTTGGGCTCATGATCACAATGAGCTCGCCATTTTTGAGGAGCAACTCGCGGCAGGGCTGCGCTTCCCACTTCACCCTTTCTTGGTAGAAATAGTTAGGTTTTATAATATTACCATTGACCAGCTTCATCCGAATTCTATTCGGAACATTGTTGGCACTATTTCCCTGTTCCACTCCTACGGCCGACCCCTAACCCTGGATACCTTCAGCTTGATCTGTGCGATCAAGCGAAACTCGGCCTGTCTGCGCGGGGATGTCAAACAGAGCTATTACATCTCTCCCAGGCCCGGATTCAAAATCTTGCACGGATGCCCGAACAAGGTTTCGGCCTGGAAAAGGCGATACTTCATCGCTCGTAACCCGGAAGGGTGGCCTTTCCCAACCCACTGGAGGGTGGCTACTCAGGACCCCAGGGTGAGCTTGGACGGAGAGACTAGGGTGGTGATCAACTCGTGGAGGGACCTCGAGCTTGAGATGAAAAACTTCTTGACCGAAGACGCGATGGTGCGAGCTGGTTTGAGCCCTCCCGGTAGGTTTCCTTTCGGATGTTTACTTAAAATACCCTTTAAGTTCTTGACTAACTGTCCCGCTTTTTGCAGTTACAATGCCAAAGGTCGACGCGGAGAGCCTCCTGAGAAGCTCCCAGAGGGGGAAGAAGCGGAAGGCCGCGAATAGACTTCGTCGGGAAGTCGAGCCTTCAACCTCTGGACCAACTGCGGTCCTGGCCGTGGAGCCGATCTCCACTGAGCCCCCTAGGGAGGAAGCCCGACCTGGATGCCCCGAAGTAGTCGTGAACGAGGGCCGCGAGGAGGATACTCATCCTCAGGAACCAGAGGACATGTCTGCATCAAAGGGGCCAGTTGCCGAGCCAGAGAKCGCCCCTGTGAGCGAGAAAGAGAGCATCATGGATCACATGACCGCGGTGCGCAAGAGCAAGGATGCCATCTTTTCGGACGAGGTCGCGTGATGGGCTGACATGTCTTCGGCCCGGCTCTTGGGATTAGCTTCCAGCCATTGCATGGTGGTAAGTATTCTTCCTTCATTTCCGCTTTCTTTTTTCTTTTTTTTACTTACCTCGGTTTTCTTTTGATAGGTCAATTCTGCCCTTCACGCAATGGCCTGCCAGTCCGCGATCCGCTCAAAGGAGGCTCGGGACGCCAAGGTGGAGGTACGGAAGCTCCATCGCGAGTTGGACCTAGCTCGGGGCGAGGTACTTTGGGCTAGAAAGGGAACAGAGTGCCAGAAGCAGCTGATTTTGGACCAGGAGGGACAGATCTCCTCGCTGACCGAGGAGAACGCTAAGCAAAAGGAGCTGATCTCATCGATGACTGAGGAGAACGCGAAGAAGCAGAAGGAGCTGATCTCAACAATGACTTAGGAGAAGGCACGGCTTCAACGAGAAGTCGAAAATCTCGAAGCGATGGTCCAAGAGTGTACCCAAATCTTCAAGACCGCCATCCAGGAGGCGCAGTCAGAAGAAAGGAACCAGGTCGTTGAGCACTTCAAAAAGTCCTTGGAGTTCCATGCTCTCCAAGTCGAATATGGCTCAAGCTCTTACCGCTCCGGGTTCAAGCTGTGCAGGTATCCGGTCCGGCAGAAGTTCCCCGATCTCGACCTCGGTGCCATCACGATGTCGGGCTTAGTCCCCGGAGTGGCCAAGGCAGCGAACGAGGAGCCCGACTCGTCAGAGGAGGAGAGCGATGACAAGGTCGAAGTGGTGGACCCTTCGGATATGGCTGGCAGTCCTCCCGCGAGATAGTTTTTTCTTCTTTTTCTCTTCCTTTGTTTGAATCATGGATGTACACCCCGAAGCCACTGAGCTCGGGTCATGATAAAATCTCTATACCCGGAACCACTAGGTGACATTGTGACACATGGCACCTCAAAACAACTAGGTGACACCCGGAACCACTTAGGCAACAACTTGCCAAGTTGATGGTGTCCAAGCTGGCGGCCTGGCCCAGGTTCCGACTTGGCACATGCGCCGACTTGGCGACCTAACTAGTAGAACAACAACTCAGCCTAACACGCCAAGTCCGCAACGGATCGAGCTCAGATAATCAGGCCACCTCGGGACAAGACCACCTCGGACAAGTCCACCTCGGGACAAGTCTACCTCGGGACGAGTATACCTCGGTGCAAGGTCACATCAGGACCACCTCCGTCCCAAGGCACTTCGGCATTCATATCAGGTCGGATTTAAAGAGCACGAGCTCAGGCAATGCTGGCCGACCACCGCATGGCAACCCCGGGGATCTCGTCACCATACTCCGCGTCTTATAGGATCATACCTTGTAACGGCTAATATCATCTCCCCACTCCCCGATTCAGGCGGAAATGGTCAGCCTTACCGATTGGTAGCATTATCCCCAACTAACATGGAAACGGATCCTGTCGTAGCGAGAATTCCGGAACTACTCCACCGAACCCACAAGGACTCCAGTATATAAAGGCCTCACCCCCCGGGGGTGAGGGGATGCGTAATCTCTGCTCTCTAGCTCTCTCACAATCTAATATCATTTTCAGCTCGCAACCAAGTGCTAACTTAAGCATCGGAGCGACCCCGCCGGGTAAACAACCCCGAGTTCTCTAGTTCATCTCTTGCAGGTTCATCAAGCTCGTCATTGCTGGTAGCCAGATCATCTCCTGCAGGGAGCAGCCGGATTGCGCTACATCAGTTATTGATAAAAAAAGGGTGGATTTCTTGAATATCCCCCTGAAATATCTGTACTTATTTACTTTATATACTTAACTATTCTTCAAATATATCATTATTAAATTCTATGATACCCAAATACAGAGACTTCCCTAATGTACTGGTGCCATATGATACTGGATACTGCAATGGATACTTCTTGATGATATAACATTAACACTTCTAAAATATGTAAAATGGTATGTTTTAACAAATCATATTATAAAAAATCCAGACATATTAGAAATTTAACTAAATTTGGCAAGGCATATGTCTTGAGAAATGACATTTAGCTTCAAAAAATCCACACTGTAAACTAGATGTTTTGCTTCCATTCTTTTATCACATATTTTTAGTCTACATTAAATTATGGGATAGTATCAATATCTTAAATTTGGAGTATATCTATTTTTTGATTGACCAGTCATTGCATTGACTAGAAATGTCAAAACAACTAGTCTTCACTTCACTTGAATTTGAGTGCTAGCTACCTGAAGTGTAAAGTTCATTTGAGTATTGTTTTTGAAATAAACCACTTTTTCTACGACAATGTTGTAGCACTGCACTGAAACAATAAAATCAAAGCCTTCGATGTATTGATATGGTCCCACCTTGAATTAGATGAAGTGATGTCTTGGTGGGGCTGCAGCAATAAATCTAAGGCCATGATTTTTGGTTTTATCCCTGCACTACAACAAAAGTGATCTCTTTTTGAAGTAGATGGTTCTTTATCTTAAGGTGCCATGAAAAAAGACATATCTGATTAGATAGTTATTTGGTATTTTCTATTCTACAAGTTAATCTTGTGTATTGTCTTGTTTTTATCTACTGGGAATAATTCTTAAAACTCATTTCTGTGTAATTTATATTTGCAGGCATTGGACACCTTCAATACTGCTGTTATATCCCCTGTTTACTATGTTATGTTCACATCTTTCACCATCATAGCAAGCATGATCATGTTTAAGGTGATTTAGCAAAGCACTTTATTTTTGCCAGTTTTGTGTAAAGTTCCAGATTTCACACTGTCACACAGATCATAATAATCATACCCGTGCATATTGAAATATCTGCTATGTTTTAGTGAAAGTAATTTTTGTAAGCTTTTCATCATTAAAATGTTTAGGACATCTATACTATATATTATAGCAGGGAGATGGTAACATGGCTCTCCCTATTTTTTTATATTTTTTCAAAAATTTGTAAAATTCAATTCAGGCATGAGATTAAGCTTTAGGCATGTGATCCCTCGCCTTTATTTTTTCATATTTCTATTTTTTCCTTTTTATCATTGCCAAATTCCAATTACTGCAGTCAACCTCTCTCTTAATTTTTCTAATTCCAAAAACTCTCCTCACTTTTCTCTTCTACTCAAAAAGCTATTTTGTTAAAATTCTTCCATCTCTCCTACTTTCTAATTTTTTGTTGAACTCCCTAAAACTCCCACTTTTTCACTTCTACTCATAAAACTTTTTTTTGTTAAAATTCTCTCCTATCTCTCCTACTTTCAATCAATCAAGAAACCTACCCCTCTAGTTCACATAGAGGCTAAAATCCTCATAAAATATTTGCAATTGAGAATGGTATGACAAGGCACATATTTCAAAAAACATGAAATACTTACAGTGCCCCGGCATTTCCAAAGATCAAGTGCAGGAAGTAACGAAAGATCATCGAAGAAAAGAACCATGGTTGTTAATCAGTAGCTATTTGCCACTGTTGATGAGATCCATGGATTTACCCCACTTTCACTTGGGCACTAGCGAGTAGTTTCTTATCCCTGTTATCTATTATCATGCCCATTATCCAAAAAATAAAAATAAAAAAAAACAGAAGAAAAAGAAGTTTTTCTGTCATGCCTGATAGATACAATTTATGCATTGCATTGTTTCTACGATTGTTTGACAACCAATTATTTTTTTGATTGCCATCAGTCAAGTCATGATATCATGCCATTGTAATGAAATAGCTGAGTTTTCAATAACAATTAAAATTTTCAAGATTGATAATCTTTTACTTTTGTTTTTTATACTTGTTAAAAATTTTAGGACTGGGACTCGCAAGATGCATCACAAATTGCAACTGAATTATGTGGTTTCGTGACCATCTTTTCTGGAACTTTTCTTCTACACAAGACGAAGGATATGGGTGATAATCAATCTGGCGAGTCAGCCATCTTGATGGCTTCAATTCCTGAATCTATAAGCTCCTCAGCTTCAAGTTCTAGATAGGCATAGGTGTTAGATTTCAACCATTTGGATGTTGTACCTCTCAGGTCAAAGTTCCTCTTTGCAATGTGAAAAGGCGTATTGACAAGCAAAGAAAGAATCTCCTGGTATAGGCATGACTCTTGACACCATGTAACAGATACCTGAAAATTCAAATTCCATGAATGTTAGGCAATCCACAGGAGCCCGCCTAAAGATCTTGATGCCTTATGTTGCTAAAATTTCTGCTCTGTTTTTTGCAAGCTCGCCATACCTAATGTGAATAGGTTTCATAATTGTAAGCTTGGAGAGTTCTTTGAGATGATAAGCACAGAACATTGCAGAGTTTCTAGTACATAGTTTCTATCCTTTCTGTATTTAATGTCTTAACAATCAGCCAACCGGGTTGGCCATGCGTTTACACTTCCACCACCCCTCCCAAGACCATCCTTATATCTTGGACCAGCATTGGGTGATTGCCTTTTTGATAATGTCACTTTTTGGTGATAGCAATACGTGACACAGTCATGCAAAATTTCACCGTATCTAACACGTATTGGTATACACAAGATTCAAAGTATTGATACAATAAAGGCAGAAAAACTGCGTATTGCACGATTCAAAAGGGTGATTTGATGCTCTAAAATATAATGTTTTTTAAGCTTCAACTGAGGAACAAGGAAGGGTATTAGCCTTAAAAGTTGGCAGACGTCCTAACTCGATACATACGCACCAATATGTATTAAAACCTTTGAGTATACATCATGAGATGCAATTCAACATCCTAAAAGGATGGATTTCAATGAATTATAAGTAAATATGGATTGGATGAGCTCACATCTACTGCAAGCATTGCCATGGTGAGCCAGTGATCAGAGAAAAACAAACACACCAGTGATGGAAATGAATTCAAAACATCACGTGAACTTCCATGACTAGTGTATCCATGCTTCACTGGGCGGATGGCAATGTAGTGCAGTGACCGTTGTAGCAGACGTGCTCTTGGGTTGGATTGTCGGGTGGGTTGCATCAGAAATTGCCACCTCTACTTTTAAACGCTCTTTTTATAACGTTTTTTCTCTATTTACATACAGCGTCTCTAGACTCTTTACAACCTCTTCATTTACTGGGGGGGATCATGGTCAAAGAACCCAATCTGATGATTGCCTCCCTTGGAAAAAACGGAATGAATGAAACCCTGTTTTCCTACTTATGAATGTGTCAGCAGCTTGAATTTCAGGATATTCTAAGCAATCTCTCTTGTGGGTTATGGCAACTAAATTTCAACTGTGGTTTGACTTGCAGGTTCTAATCCTTTCCATGAAACTTGTTGAGCTTCTGAAAGGAAACAAGTTTGGATCTCAGATATTCTTCTATTTGCTGTGCTGTTTATGTAGAAAGTAGTTTAATGCAATCAGAGCGATCACTCGGCTTATATTGGGTACCAATCGGCTTAATGAAAAAAGCAGATCACTCTTCAAAGCCATTCATTAAATAGTTAAAAATTCAAGGTTCTAGGGAATAACCAAATCCATATACATTGCTTCTTTAGAAACAAATACAGATCTGATCACCTGGAGACGAAGATTCGTGGGGACAACTATGTATATGTTCCATAAATGGGCAAAGTACCATTCTTTTTGCTTTTTCTGAGGCATCAAACCAAATGGAATATTACAGCATACTACACTTGGATGAGAACTACTAGTAACTACCATCATGAATAAGACAATCTACTATTGGTGCAACAATTGCAAGCTTGTGGGTAATGCTTATCTAGGTGGAAGGATTGGAGGCTTTAACCATGAAGAATTTCTTTAGATACCAAAATTGCATTGCTGGATAAATTCATTTTCATAGTCAACATACTTTGTCCAAAGCGGCCGGAACTGATTCATGGCAATATCAAGCCATGGTTTCATGTTACCATTGAAGTGTACAACTGCAGCATTCCGGATCTCATCCATACTAATGCTTGGATTATAGCCAAGTCCAAGTACGTGCCAAGATTTGTCCAGAGGCTTAGTTGTGGAATAAAACGTTATCAAGCCTGGGGGCAAGGTCCCCAATTTCCACAAGGTCCGATTTTCATTCTGCAGCAATATCAACATCAATGGTCAGTGCACATAAAAAAATTCAAGTATTAAATGAATAAAAAAGAAAAGATTCAAGTATTAAGATGAGGCAAGGATTACCAAAACACATAAATGAAACAGGAAATAAAAAGCTAATAGATGTATGTGGTACTAAATCGTGTCACTCTTCCATGTAAATAATTCCATGGAATGTTGGAACATGTCAAACAAAAATATAGAAATAAGCAGTAAGCCCTCAACTTTTTTATGAAAATAACCTCTCCATTTTGGGTATGAACCTGAGGGAGAATGTTTCTTAAACTATGACATTGGCATCATTTAATCTCCTCTAGGTCACTAGTACTATCTTCATTGTTTTCCTTCATTCCTTGGGCAGCAGGCTATGAAAAACTTAATGTTCTGTTCCCTTCATTCATCTACTTTTTTCCTTTTGCCTCTAGCCTACTTCTTTCCAAAGATTACCCTTCGTTTTATTTCAAGACTATCCTCATTCTTCTTTAGGCAGGCTTTTCTTTCTCTTTTTCCCTGGTCACTAGTACTATCTTCATTGTTTTGCTTCACCCCTTGCCAGGCTATGGAAAACATCAAGTTCTTTTCCCTTCATTCATCTAATTTTTTTCCTTTTGCCTCCAGCTTACTTCTTTCCAAAGATTACCCTTCATTTTACCCCTAGCATTTGGCATCCATAGTTATCTCATCTTATCACCACATTCTACTCAATGCCAAAAAAAATAGAAGAATGGTCCAAAACAGACCTAATCTACCAAAATGATCTCCCCAAACAACAAAACATATTGACATTGCCTATTTTATTGACTGAAATAAACACCTCAAACTAGCAGCACCTCAAACATGAGTTTGTTTGCAAAATGTCCAGACTCCTCCCTCACACTTTTTGTAATGAGCCAGAAAAATGAGAAATGAAAAGGAGCCTTTTTCTATCAGCAAAAGAGGAATTTTATTTAATTAATAGAGCAAAGTTACAGTGTTACAGTAAAACAGAAAAAACAGTCTCTTATCCTTTGATCATAATTCATAAGAAGCAAAAAAGGACTTGTTTTTGAGTGTCAAGAAAAAGTGATGGCCCCTTTCCATAAGATGGGTAAAGGGGGAGTTCAGACATAAAGCACAAGGCTGGACAAACTCTAATTCAGAATATGCAAAGCACCCCAAAAAAAAAAAAGGAAAAAAAATAATTATCGAAGAAAGTAAAAGAACAAAAAAAGGCATCTATCCACTCCACTAGTGACAGAATCAGGAAAGATGAAGATTATTTGCTCAAGTCAAAAGGACCATTGTTCAATGACGATCCCAGCTATCTGGGGTGTTGAGATGGGTAGTAGATTGGATATGGATAGTGTAACCGCGTAGGGTTGGGTTCAGAATGTATCAAGATCTGAAAGACGGGGGTTAAAGTATTAGTTGAAATTATTTAATTAGGCGAACTCAACTTGCAATCCTAGATACACCAAAAGAGTAATCTCAAACTTGAATCCACATTCTCATGATTGTCAACCTGAGATTTTACCATTACAATTGAAGCAGAATAGATTAATCCTACATACAGTGATGCAAGATGGTGGAAAGAATGCAGCAACAGGCATTTTACAGTGAAATTGTATTCTACTTCAATTATCAGAAATCAAGTGGAGGCTTCTAAAATAAGGGAGATTAGGGGTAACATGTTCCTCCTAAGGTGAAAGCTTTTGTGTGGTCGGTACTTGGTAGCCTTGGACAGCATCCTCATGATTGACCGTTTGTGTAACAATTGTGAAGATGTGAGACATCTATTCATTCCATGAAAAGTGGCAGCTTTTTTATGGAGATCTTTTTTTTTTCTAGTTTGGAGTAGAACTTTTTTGTCCTCACAACCCATAAGAAACCTTCTCTTAGTGGCCAAATACAGGTGGCATACACTTCAAGCTCTTATCTTTTAAGCTAGTTTTTTTTTATAATAAAATAATTATAATTAAAAGTGAAGAAACCTTTTATCTGTGAAGAAACTCCCTGATGTAGCATTTTATTGTAGTCCTTATTGTATTGTTTTCTTATTTACTTTTATTTTTACTTCAGCCCTGCAAGGACCTCTCTGTAATTTCTGTAATTTCACTTTCTATATAAAGGACCCTTGGGGTAGGGCATCCATTCTTCATCCCTAGAATTTTGTATTCTGCTCTGGGTCTGTTGACATGGTATCAGAGCAGGCTGTTCTTTCCTTGCTCATTCGTTGGGCATATTAGGGTTTCTGTTCTCAGGGTGCTTTTGGCTGGTGTTAGGGCTCTTCTAACCCTGGTTCCTCTTGAAGGCTTCTGTCTGGAAGGATTTCCGACCAGCTGTGTCACCCAGAACCTTCTTCTTTCCCTCAGAAAATCAGCAGAAACTGACAAGTCTTGGAGGAGTTCCGGTCTTCTCTCCTAGGGGGCAGAAATTTTGTTTTCTTCCTCTGACTGTGTACTGATTTCTCCTGGGCGGCAGCAGCCTTTCTCTCTGTGGTTCAGTTTCGAACAGTCACAGATTAAAGAGTCTCAACAGTCTGGCTGCTTCCTCCCTCAACAGCAGCAGTATTCAAGCCTGGTTTCTTCTTCTGACCAAGGAACTTCAATAGACATCAGGTCCTCTCTTTAAAACTGATCTGGAAAACTTCTCATTTCAGGTTGGTGCATCACACTATTGTCATAATCGACTGTTATCAATCCTTGGAACCCTAGTTTGTGCTGCCCTAATTCTGTGGTGCTATTGGAGGATTTTTCATTCTTCTCTAAAGTTTACTGCTGAAGTTGCCTTGGATTTGTCTGTATTTCATGCCTCAGCCCTCATTTTACTTTTCTGAAGACTACTGTGTTTAGCTGAAGTAATTTTTTCTTCCTTGTTCATTGCTGATTTGAGTACTTTTCCAACATCAGTGCTGCTATTCTAGGTTGTTTTTTTGCTCGTTTATGATGGCTGAAAAGATTGATTTTCTCCCTGTAAAATTTGATGGAACTAACTACAATATGTGGAAGTTCCATTTTGATTTCTATGTTGAGGGAAAGGGACTCGAAGGTTACTTGAATGGGACTGTAAATAAACTTGATGAGTCTGAGGCTGATAGTAAAGCCTATACACAATGGAAGCTTGACAACGGAAAGTTAGTCTCCTAGATTTTGAGCTCCATTGTGCCTCACATTAGTGTTCCTATGACAACACTGAGGACTGCCTATGAGATGTATGGCTACTTGAAAAAAGTTTATCATCAGTCCAATATGTCATGGCAATACCAGATTGAATCTGAAATCTTTGCTTATTGCCAGGGGGGCAAAAAAATACAAGAATACTATTTAGGATTTATTGATCTCTGGGCTGAATATGAACTTGTTCATACTGAACCCTCTGATCCCGTTGAATGTGTCAAGTATTTGCAAAAACATTTTGAAAATAGAAAAGTTAACCAATTTCTCATGAGGCTAAGACCTGAGTATGAAATAATCATGTCAAATATTTTGAGTAGAGGAACTCTTCTAGACTTGAAACTCTGTGATGGGAGAGTTGTTGAGGGAAGAAACTAGACTCCTAACTGCTACAAACATAGAAGGAAAACATCCTGATTTAGGGATTGATACTGTTTTTCTTGCACAAGGGAATAAGAAATCTGGTGGAAAGGACCCTTCTAAAACTCAATGCTATGAATATAAAGCATATGGACATAAAGCCTCTCATTGCAAAAAGAAGAATTTCAGCACATATTGCAAACATGGACATATCATTCCAAATTGCCCAATTCGTCCACCCAAGGGACCCATGAAGAAATCAGCCACAAGCTTATCAAGCGTCTGAGGGACGAGTGTCCGATACCCCTATTGCCAAGGGAGAATCCTCTACTTCCATGAATAATAAAAAAGAGATACAACAACTAGTATCTTCTGCCATCTCATTTGCCTTTTCTTCTACCGGCCTATCTGGTGAGTTCTCCGGTTATTGCTCTTCTCCCGTTTGGATAATTGATTCTGGTGCTACAAATCATATGACTGGGGCCTATCCTGAACCTTCAAACAGATTGTCTGTGTTAGTGGTGTTAGTGAAGGGGTATTTTGGTCTTTGCACTTGTTGAGAATGTTRATGTGTACTGTTATGTTAGTTCGAGTGCCTCTTACTTAAATAAGGGCACTTAAGTCTTTTCCAATAAGTTAATAATATAATACCAGGTCTGGCCGAATCTAGGGATAACTTTTTCTCTAATTCG